CCTTACAATTAACCCATTTCCATTTCATTTTTCCGCACTCATCCCTCATTAAAAGCGTTGAAATTTATCTTACATTTTCCTTCTCTTGGATATAGCCATTTTATGAATACTTTCGAGATTTCTGTCAAATCTCTAATACTTTCCTAATTAAAGGTTTTGATATATTCTTGCCGTTCAAGTATTCATTTCCTTACTACCTAATTAAGGGTGATGACATTATTCTTAAAAATTTATCATTCCTCCTCTTTCAAATATTCCATATAAATAATCGCTATTAGTTCCACGTTATGATTTAGAGATCTGAACTTTGGAAAGAAGTTGAAATCAAGCCGAATGTAGAAACTAACTTTTTTTTAGCACCTTTTCCAAGTACAACTTTTTACATTTATTTCCGATTAAAAACGAAGTTATTCACAGCAGAGGCCAAGAATATGATTGGTATATGGCAACAACTAGCATGTGGACTACTGTTCCTGAACTGAACAGTGGAAAAAGGCTCCTATTATCGATGAAAATTTTCAAACACCCGATGATTTACATGGAAAACTACAAAAAATCACGCCCTATTTCATCGAGGGAAATAGAAGTCTATTAGAAGAGGAATTTACGCTCTTCCACTGGCACGACACTCTGAGATCTGAGCAACGACTATTATTCTCAGATTTGAGATCTGAGGAGTTTGAAACATCCACCAACAGCCTTGAGAATCCGAGCGTCAGCGTTGAGACGTGAACAGCGTTTGAGATCTGAACAATGAACTTTGATGAGAACAGATTTGGCCCTCCAATGATATTGTGACACATGGTACCTCAGAACAATTAGGTGATGCCCGGAACCACTCAGGCAACAACTTGCCAAGTTGGTGGTGTCTAAACTGGCAGCCTAGCGGCATGGCCCAGGCGCCGACCTGGCACATGCACCGATCTAGCAACCTGCCATACGTGTTTGCCGACAAATTCGACATGCATATTCCAACACTCCCACAATCACGATCCTTTGAAGTTGGCCCATGTGCGGAACGATCCGAAGGGTGGCCAACGTGCATAGCACTTGGTCAGCTCAGCACCTCCCAGGCAGCTCGTCACCTGGTCAGCTCGGCACGTCATAGGCAGTTCGGCACTATAGTCAGCTCGCCACCTAACCTGCCTAGCTCGACTCAACTAGGCAGCCAAAGTTCTCCACTTCGGCCTGAGTCATCAGCCACTTGGAAGCAGACCAAATGACGAGGTATTTAGCACAAAAAATTCACACTTCACCAAAAATTGATTCATCAAACCTCTTCTCTGTTGAAGTTTGCATTGAGGTATGCGTTTAAGCAGGTGAGAGAACAACGATCCTTTTCATTTCTCCATCCGATTTACTGAACAGATATTGATCTAGTGTTATTTTGTTCTTTTATTTAGTTTTTCTCTTGTTCAAAGCTCCTGATCAACATCGTTTTTAGATCCCCTTCAAAGTATCTCTGAAAGTGAAAGTAAGATTTCTCCTGTA